TGTGTGTGTGTGTGTGTCTGTCTGTCTGTCTGTCTGTGCGTGTGTGCCTGCCTGTCTGTGTGTGTCTGTGTGTGTGTGTGCCTGTCTGTCTGTGTGTGCCTGTCTGTGCGTGTGTGTGTGTGTGTGTCTGTCTGTCTGTCTCGGTGTGTGTGCGCCTGTCTGTCTCTCTCTCTGCCTGTCTGTCTGTGTGTATGTGCCTGTCGCTCTCCATATGTTTGTCTGTGTGTCCGTGCACGTGTCTGTGAGTGCGTTTGTAAGTTCTCCCCTTCCACAGAGTGGGTTGCCTCGTTTAACAGTGTAACAGCATTGCCTCAGTCACTGACTCCGATACCTTGGTGTAGCTTGTGTCTATCTTTAGTTACCATGCTGCCTGCTCCTCTGCCTGCTCAGCACTTTAAGATTGGAGTCATTGGTGTAATCTGGGCTAATGAGTTTCCTAATTACTGCTGGAAACTTTTGAGTTTTCTCTTTCCCGCATGATTCCCCGTTTCCCCTTAACCCATCAGAGAAAGTGAAGTGGGAAGCCGCTCGAATCTAAGTTACTCAGTTGTGGGTGCAGTATGCAGTCTTAGCTGTGGGGGGGTACAGTCAGGCATTCACATATGCTCGGGTTAGAGGAGAAGATCCCCTGCCAGCGTGAAACTTCGACAATAATACTTGGGTCCATTATTAAAAATGCAAAATTCCCTGCAGTGACAGGTTTAGACAAAAAACGTTACTTCAAGAAAGTCACAGAGTCAGCTAATATGTGAGTGAGGCTAGTCACCGAGACACAAAGTGAGCCGAAGCGAAGATACACACCCCCACACACCAAAAAACCTTTTAATATTAAAGAAATAGTATGCATTTACATTAACAAATAAATAACAGTAATATTTATGTATTAAATGATTTTATGTGATCCAAATCATTTGCAGTATTTATATAAGTTTGGCTTGCGTGCCCCATTCAGGGTTTCCATTTAATTATGCCTGGCCAACTTGCAAATAAGTGAAACCGCGAATGTGAAATTGGCAAATCTGGAGGGAATTTCTTTCCGACTCCTGTGTGTGGTCACCCAGAAGTGCTCGCCTTCTCGGGCCTGTCTGGGCCACGCTTTGGTCCTCAGCTACCTGGAATACCTGCTGTCCCTCTGACACAAATCGCTCTGCCCTGCAGCCACCACTCAGGACAACCTGGACGACAAACTGCGCAAGTTCGAGATCCGCGACATGATGGGCCTGACTGACGACCGGGATATTTCTGAGACGGTGAGCGAGACCTGGAGCACGGACGTGCTGGGCAGCGACTTTGACCCCAACATGGACGAGGACCGCCTGCAGGAGATTGCAGGTGAGCTCAGCATGGCCCGGCCAGCGAGACACCCATTAACCTTTCTGCAGGAGGCATCGCTCACTCGCCGATTGGCTGTGTCCAGATGTGTGATTGAGTTGTCACTGAGCTAATGGCTGCCTGAAATTATGGGCTTGCCTTACCCCAGTATGATAGATGGCTGGAATTAGTGGATTCTCCATAATTATTTAAAATATCCGAGTGGACGTGTGTGGCTGTCGGCTGATTTAATTACGGCGGACGCATTCAGTCCTTCAAGTTCATGACATTGAGATTTACCAAAAACATGAGGAATTGCGATATGGTTTCAATGATCAAATGTAAATCTTACTCTTTTTAGTAAGACTTTTCAGTGTATTTTCCAACATATTAACAGAATTGAACTACACTGCCACCCAGTGGCCAGCTCTCTATATTGGATTATACTGCCACCCAGTGGCCTGCTTTTTACATTGCATCTTGTCTTGTCAAGGACAAACCCATCAATGACATACCTGTGTACCATGCATGTGTGCGGCAGAGCATGACATAATGCACTACAGTGAATATAACATTAACCATGTTAGGTGGAGGATCCATCTTATGTTCTCTGTGTTTAATTAAAAAAACAGGTCTTCAGATCATAGACATCAATACCTTTTATGAATGTATCCAGCCTTTGAGGGGACACACTAACAGCTTAAAATAGACGTCAGTGAAATGCATGAATAAAGCTGCTTTCCGTGTGCAGATGCACATGTTTTTGTGTTCTTAAAATATTTGTCCATTTTCAACTTAATCTTGCAGTCTTAATCTTTTTTTTCTTGTACCGTTAACATTCAGAGAATGAAAACATTAACTAATTTTTATCGTGTAGCTTTCTGGAAGAACATGCAAGCTCAGATGTTAGAAATGTTAGCATCATTGGCGGGCAAATTTCAGGACAGTCAAAGCATGCGGTTCCTCTTCCATTAAAAAAAAAAAAAGTCATCCCCTACTCCGTCTCCGGTTTGAGCTCCTTGTGGAAAGTCACCCCTCACTGGTGATAATAATAAAGAGCCGTCGGTCCCGCTCGGCGCCCACCCCCACCCTCGTCACGGACGGCTGACATTCGCTGGGTCCCCACAGTCTTATTGACCTTGGTTCCCACTCATTTGCATCCTCCATTTTTCACGCCTTGGTATATGGCGTGGTGGGACTTTTCAGTCATTAAGTGAATTTACAGCGATTTCCTTATGTGTTTTCTCCAAGGGACTCAGTTATGAGATGCACATTAAATATCCATTAATACCTCATTATCCCACTGATAAGATTACCATGATAATGAGGCAGAAATTCTAATTGTTTCACTTCTTGTTGCGCCACTCATTTAATCATCCACCTGAAAGGCGGCCGCTGCGAGCCCCTACCTCGACGACTGTAAACAGCGGCAGCGGGGCGGAGCCCCCCTCGAGGGCCCCCGTCCCCTGCCGGGCTTGCCGACGGATGGGAATGGGGCCACGCCAGGGAGGGGCCGTGTTGCTGCAGGGAGCCTTCCCACCCGAATGGCTGCCAAAAAAAGCGGAGCCGAGTGTTTCCCTCCTTGCAGCTGCTCCGTGTTCCTGCCTGCCGCGTTCTGGCGGGTTAACCTCCGTCGCCTTGCTGGGGGCCGGGACAGTGCCAAAGCTCTGCGCGGTCACCAGGTTGAGGTCGACTTTGCGAGCCCAAGCTCTGCTTCCTGTGTGCAGGAGCCGCTGTGGAGAGCATGCTGGGCAGCCTGCTCTGTCTGCCGGGCTCCGGCTCCGTCCTGCTCGACCCGTATGGATCCACCATCTCTGAGACTACCAGTGAGGCCTGGAGCGTGGAGGTCTTACCCAGTGACTCAGGTGAGCTTTTCTGGCCAGTACCTGGCGGTAACGGCTCCTTCTCCATCTCCACCTTCATAACATCTGGCAGGTTTCATGGGCCACCACTCTGCGCCGTGCCAAGCGAACTCACCACAGGGTATTCTCTGAGCGAGAAGTGTCCCCCAGCCAGACGAGGAGCCTGACTGCCAGAGCGCTCTGCACCTCCCGAGTGCCACCTATCTCCTGGGCCTGTGGTCCCTGCCCATGACGGGCCCCGTGTGGGAGTCTCTTTGGGGCCCCGCTCAGATTGGGGACAGCCTCTGTAACTGTCATAAGGCTCAACGGTCCAGCACCTTGACTAATGACAAAAGTCTATAGTGACCAAAGCCTCATATCTGTGTTAAGGTGGCTCCGCCATTCCGTGTGTCCGTAGTGAGCCCAGTTCGGTGGACTGCGCCGAGATTGTCAGGTTTGATGGGATGCTGTATGCACTCACTGCGGGTTCCGGCTGGGCCACCGCTCAGCTCCGTGCATGGAACTGTTTTTGCTCCAGAGCAGCATTTATCGGGGACCCGAGTGCCAAGCGGCACTTTCAGGCACGGCGCCGTTTATATGCTCTTGTACGATTGGCTGCCTTGTGTCAGGATGCTAAACCAGGAAGCTATTGGCGTTAGTCCCCAAAATGCGGGGAGCGCCCGGGGTGTGATACGGATGGACTAGCAGGTGACTGGAAGTGACAACTTGGCGAGACCTTCCATCAGGCGATGCCCTCTGGGTTTAGGTAACACTGATATCTGTGCACTGTCCCCCCCCCCCC